AATCAAAGTTCAGGCACAAGTAAGTGCCTGACCTGGATAACCAGCTGCGGAAGACTCTCAGGCTAACGATGCTTCCATTTAAAGGGGTCGTTTGAACGAGAGGCTACAGGTACAGCAGTACCCCTTCATTCCTGACGACGACAAACTGTGCCTTCAGATAATTTTAAAAGCCGAATGCCCTTACAGAGAGCTTGTTGATCTGAAATGAGTTGTTACACAGAACTGCGTTCACTTCAGATTCACTTACAAAAGCTTTGTTCAACGCCGACACACTGGGAGGGCCAGCAGAGGCAGCTTAAATGAGGCTTCTCCACAGCTTTTTTTCCCCACAATACCTGTCTCAAAATATTTTGCCATAATTTTTTCAAGACAGCACCTTCCTTTCTCAGAAAGTCAGTTAGCAAGACTTCGGTTGCAAAAAACATGTCTTCAAAGTTAGAGAAAAATGCATTTTTCATCCCTGATTATGAAGGAGGCTGCCAGACTGGTTAGATACAGATGGGATAATTTCACCTAAGTCACAAGGTCGAGCCACTTTTCAACCAAACTGTAATTTGCCTTTAGGGTTCACGCAAACGGTTGTTGCAATTTTACGAACGTGGCACTAGAGGGCCTGTGGCAGCTCAGGGTCTGAAGCAGCATCAAACTGACACGGTAGGAAAGATACGTGATGTACAGTTTGTGTTTACATGATATAATCACGTTCTGAGCCGAGGTGACGTTATTAATTTTTAATTGCTTGACTGCTGGGTCCTTTCCTTCTGGCATTTCTGAAGTTCCAGTGGGAAATTCTTTAAACAGTTCAGCAAACAGTTGCAAATGTTTTAGTATTTAGTTGCACCTGCCACAGAAGATGCACAAATATTCAATTCTAGTGCTTGCAGGTTCTAAGATCGGGTTTAAAACTCCTCAGTCATATCTGCTTTTGCTCCTGAGCTGTGCCGGTAACGGAATCGAAGGGGCCAGTTGGCTCAGACCAAAACTGCGCCAGGGCCCGCCGTGCAGTTTGGCAGCGGGGGCGACAGACGGCACCCCAGCACTAGACATGCCCCGCGCCCGCTCATTCACCAGTTCAGATTTAGCACCAGATTCACAGAGCACTGAGGAAACTGTACCCTGTGTTTTTACATCGGGAACATACTATCAACCTAAATGCTAACTGTGCCTTCTGTCATGACCCAGAAGCTACTGCAGCTGCTGGTCTGCTTTAACAAATCTCCATATTTCTGTTGCTTGAAGCTTTGGTTGTCTATATTTTGGTTTTCCTGGGAATATTTAACAAACGGTGTCAGAAGCACTCAAGGAAAAAGAATGGACAGTTTGCTTGCACCTCTTGGCAGAAGACAGTAAAAATGCGCCTTCAGAAGTTTAGCAGAACTCAAACTCAAAGCTCGGAGAGGGGCTTCCAGGGACTTTGCCTATAGCTTTTATTTTTAACCCTTGTGTGTTGCTAAGGTCAGAACGTGTACTAACGGTGAGACACCATCAGACCAGACACCCAACCTGCCTGGTCACCTGTTTCAGATCTGACAGCACAGAGAGGGATTACAAGAATCTTTCTGTTAGAGTCATCTACTGAGCAGAGAAAAGAGTCTGCGAGAAGCCATCACTAGGGAAAGCCATGGCTCCAGCCTCCTCCGTGTCCGTACTGAGCTGCGGGTGGGTCCCACTACTGAAGGCAATTTGTTGTTTTCCAAGCCCTGCGTTGGTAGTCAGCTTGTTTCAAAACTGGCCACTGGCCTAGATGAGATCACGAGCTACAGCCTTACCTTAGGGAGTCTGTACTTTTCTCTCAGGTGAACCCTCAGACAGGCTCGCTCTGCTTTTTTCTGTGCAAATGCTGCATCTCTTTCCATCCTGGAAATCAGAAAAAATGTTTCTTCAAGATACTAATAAAATACATTTTTTTTTTTACGCTGAACCAGTTGCTCAGCTGCAAAAAGCTGCATGCAGAAGTTATTCCCAAAGCTACATCGCTTGTCCAAAGGCACAAAAGGAGCGATACTGATAAAGGGGTGCTAAGGGGCCAGGCTGTCTGTACCCCAGCCTTGTTCTCACAACAGTTCCCTGGAGTCCTGCGAAGAACAAAGGATAAGCTAATACCACTTGTCTGGAGTTTGTACCTGCACTATTATCGCTCACTGTAACAACAAACAGTTCCAATAAGCAGAACAGAGAAGTTACGCTTGGAAGTGTTCAAGGCCAGGTTGGATGAGGCTTTGGGCAACCTGGTGTAGTGGAGGGTGTCCCTGACCATGGCAGGGGGGTTGGAACTAGATGATCTTTGAGGTCCCTTCCAACTCTAACCATTCTGTGATTCTATGATTCTGTGATTCCTTGCTTATTCCACGGGGCACTGCCAGAGAGGCGGCTGCCCGCCAGCATGCCCGTTCGACACCCTCAGAGCGTCACAGCACACACGCTCGATGGCACAACAGTCTTTCTGGGTCAGACCAAAAGTTTACCTATCCTGGAGTCCCATCGCCAACAGCAGACAGAAGCGGACCCTTGGAGAAAGAAGTTAAGAAGAGGATAAGCATCCTATATCAAAACTGCCCAGCTTCCCAAAAATCGGTAGTGGAGGATGCTGGAGCTGGAAATTGGCTCTGTGTCACTGTCTTTAACAGCCCTGGATGGCATCTGTCACCTATGTGTTTTCCTGGTCTTTTCTGCATCCATTTATTGTTTCAGAACATCCTACGGCAATGAATTCCACAGCTTCTCTGTGTGGAAAAGTTCTTCTTTTATCTGTGACTTTATAAAACGCAGATAAAAGAAGTACTTTTAAGAACTGTTCAGCACATTTTTTTTGTTAGATTACGTATGTATTTATTTGCAAAACGTGTCTCCTCAAAGGTTTTTAATAACATTTGTTAACATTCCCCTTCCCAACTCTCCTTTTTTTTTTTTTTTTCCAGAAGCATTGTCATGGAAATTCTCAGGCAAAATTTGTTTTGTTCCAGTATAGGTATTTTGTCACATAAAAGCTATTTGCAAGATGAAATGTTATTTTTCTTCTGCTTCCACAAATGAGATTATCCCCCTCTGGGACAAAAAAAAAAAAAAACAAACCAAAAAACCCCAAAAAAACCCCAAGGTTCACATTAACTGGGAGCCATCTCGAGCCTTTCAGCCAGTCATTGATGGGAAGATTGCAAAGAGATTTTTGGAGCCCTTCTGGCATGTTTTCCCTCTCTTTCTCAACCTTCCTCTTCTGCTGCCCACTACTCCTCCAGAGGAGCCCTCTGCAGCCACAGCCGGTCCCGGGTCACGCTCCCATGGGGCAGCGTGCAGCATCACACCCTTCCCTTTCGGCATCCCCCGAGGCCGAGGGGCGGGGGGCACTTCTGCTCAGGTAGGTTTGAGATTTGAGCAGAGCTCACTTGTCCTGGTGACAACTACATCTCGGGCAGACCTGGCCAAACTCACTCAGCCAAGCTCCCGCCCTCGCACGGGCCCTACTGCCTGCCCTCATCTTACACCTTTTGGGTCCGAAGGATCCAGTTATTCCCTTCCCTGGAACATGCAGCTTTGTAGGAAGAGGAAACAGCTGGAAGAGCAGTTGTGTGACAGCCAAGAGCCCGTGATGTACAGCATGAACTGGTGGTCCCTTGGCACTTAAACTCTGGTGATGCTGGAAGCAAATCCCAGGCGACCGTGCTGGAGGCTGTCAGCACCACCTTCCTCTTTGTTCCTGCATGTTACACACTTCCCTGAGAAACAGCAATCTGTGCATTTTTCTGTGTTTAACCCAAAACCTGAGAAGAACCCAAAGCCATGCATCAACAGCCAAATCCTGCCTGAGGATGACTCGGACATCGGAGGATGGATCCACCAAGGATGACTCTAGCAAGGCACTTCTACGTCTCTGATCTCCACTCTCGTACCACTATCTGAAAACCAGATAAAATCCAGAGAACCCTGAAACAGATGCTCTGCCCGTGACAAAGGTTTCTGACACGCATTTCCATAACTGCACTAGTGTGCACCGTCCTGAGACATTTTTTTTCTCTTTGAAAGTACTTTGAATGTTCCTACAGTTCCAAACTATACTTTGAGAAGTATTCCTGCACTGACTCCTCAGTACAGTTCAGCCAGTAACATGTAACACTTGAAAACGTTATAGAAATATTTTTTTTCCAAGCATTTCCTATCCTGAGAACCCCATTTTGCTTCTCAGTCTCAATACAGCATCCTCCTGCTGGCAGGTGGTTATGTCTCTCTCAAATTTCCCTTGACAAAATGCGTAGCAAAACATTCTGTATTTTACTCCAAACCAAATGATGCCTATTCAAGGTTTTATGATAGAAACAGCTGATGCTAAATACAGACCTGGATACCTCAAATTCCGCCAGTCATTAACCTTTCACCTATAATCATCTTACACGAAGGATTTACACAAACATTATGTAATTGACCATTAGAGGAACAGATGCATTTGAGATTTAAAAGTCAATTCTTTTATTTATAATTATGTATGATTTGAACTCCTACATGTGAAGTCCTTTATTTTACTTCTGTTTTGATATTTAAACATAAACAAGTGGTAAAGATTATAATTACAGACAAAATAAAACAGATTTAATAAGTTGAAGAGTTCTGCTTTATTTAGTAGATTTTAGAGAAAAATAACTGAAAATGCACTGCCAAAAAAATAACCACCTTAAAACTTTTCTCTAGATAAATATCATCCACTTAACATCGCACTCGTGACTTTTTCATGTCTGCCATAATAAACGTGGACAAAGAAAAGATGATGTATTGAAGGTGTACTCCTCACAGAGTTCTAGGAGAACAAATCATACACATTTTAGAATTAACTCCTGCACTAGAAACAGCTCTGCACCTATGGAAAAATTTGATAGATAAAGTAACATCAGCTAGGAATGAATCCAGCATGAATCAAGGTGTGGAGACGGCAGGAAAGTGTAGGAGAGAATTGCCGGGGGGGTTGGCGGGGGGAAGGGGGAACACAATATTTTATCATTTCCAGTTGGTGAATCGTTATTTTGGAAAGTCTCTTTAGCAAAGATTCTCCTGCTTTAAAAACAGGGAAGAGCGCTGAACGTTTGGCTTTTTCTTGGGTTATTTTCATCTGCTCAAAGTCACCGAGAATCAGCCCCACACTGATAAGAAGGGAACAGGTACTCACTTCTCCTCAACCATTTGCTTTTGATATTCCTCATATTCCTCTCTGGTCATTCCTGCAGCTGCTGCTGGATCAGAAGGAGAGCTTTCTTCTTTGCTTTCTTCCCCTCCACCTCCAAGTCCCAAATTCTTTACCTGGTTGCTCAACATACTTTTCATTAGAAAGGCCATCTTCTCAAGACAAAAAAGGAGCTATAAGCAAACAACTACCAGAAAGCCAAACCAAACCAAAAACGTTTTCAGAACCAACAAGTGTAAGCAAGAGAGTTTCTACAGCCACATCAGCTCTTCAAGGACAAAATGCTAGTGAAACGTGAATGCCAAAACCAGTTTGTCAGCCATAATCTGGATTAAAGAGTGAACTCCTTAATATCTAGAGGCAGATGGTTCAGATTACTCAAAAAAATCATTAGATGCAGCTACCTACTTTTTATATTAATACCTTAAGCTAATAGTCCCCCCCCCCATATAGTGTGTAATGGCATTTTGATTTCTTCAGTCTTGAAACTCTCACTTTCACAGAGATGAAAAAGTTCCCTGGAACACAACGGACCTGAATTGGAAAACTGATTGACTAAACAGCCATAGTAAAATTGTAAAATCCGGGCTACTGAGCAGAAAATTCTTTTGGATTTACACTATTGAATGAGATTTGAAAACTGGAATTCTTCATTCAGCAAAAAATCCAATCCTTTTTATCCATTAATGTTTTAATTCAATGTACTTTCTGTCCAATGTGATATCTCCTTCATCCACTTTTCATACGGTTGGTTTGTCTCACAGACGCTATCATTACCTTTTTTCCAAGAAAGTAATCACAAAAAAAGTAAATCACATCTTCCTGCTTTTCATTCCTTAGGGTTTATTTCAACTCTTCCCCAAGCTGCCTCCATCTAGATCACCACTTCGACCAGTGCTGCACAGAATTCCTAGTGTTTTTAATTTTCACTGTCAGTAAAGGAGAGCTGAATCTGACTGATTCCATGTGCTATAACACAGCCTTGACATCTTTTCTTTGAGGATTGCTTCTGTAGGTCCTCACGTTTCAAACTTCTGTTCACATCGGTAGCCTCACCAGGTTTATTCAGGTGAGGAATTGCAGGATCTGCTACCTAGATCATAGACTATTTTGGGAAAGAAAATAATCTGCTGGGTCTCAAATGTTCATGATTTTGTGTTTTGGGCATTTATCCTGCTATGACTGACTGCACGTCTTAATGAAACACTCTGTAATTTTGATTACCTAAATGGTTCTCCCAGCACTCCCATTTCACTGAGAGATGGAGGATTCCAATTTGCCTAATGCCTTAATCTGTATTAGAACCTTTCTAATTAAAGCAGACCTGTTACTATTAAAAAAAAAAAAAAGAGCAGGACGTTCTGTGATCCTGGATTATTAGTGATTAAACAAGAAACTTTAAAATTCTTTTTGAAATAGAGCATCACTCAGAAGCAAGAATTCCAAATCACAACAAAACTACTTTGATATACCATGAACACCTGGAAAGCATTTTTCTTACATCAAGCAGAATGCCGTGTGACCTATGCTACTGCCGTATCACTGTGTAAATCTCTCATCTGGCAAGTGCTGCCGACTCTGCTCAATGGTACTTTTATACCATTTTTCCCAGCCGGGAGACACAGGGAACAAGCAGGGCTGGTTCTAACCTGCAACCCTTTTGCCTTCTGCTAAAACCAAGACCTTGCTCGCCTTGCTGGTACTTGAAAAGTCCTGCTAACAGGCCTAATGCAGCATCTCTCTCAGAAGCAGGAGTGTCTTTGGATGAGCACTCTGGCTGCTGAGCAGCAGTGCCAACCCCACGGCCCATAACAAGATCATCAGAGCCCCTCTCTGTTAAGCAGCCAACTTTAAAAGGAAGAAATGAAAATAAAGAGTTATTTCTAGAAAATTATTTGAGTTAAATACTGCTCCAAGAGCAAGCCCCTGAAAAAAAAAAACAATCCCTAGTTCCTGAACTACAGCCTGACTCACTGAGTGACTTGTCCCACACTGCTCAAAACACAGCCGATCTCAAGAGCAGGAGACAGAAAATGCTCCATGAGGGGAGAAGGTGTTTGGTCAATTCAGGCATCTCTAGAAATAGATGGTGGCGAGAGAACGAGGGAATCGCAACTCTGGATAATGGTTTTGGTCTTGCTGACCTTTACATCCACTGCTTACAACACAAATCTAACACAAACCGGCAACGTGGACATCAGAAGCTGGAAGAACATCTTCTCTGCTTCAGCTCCACAGCTAAGCTGTATCTTACACAAGTACTTGGCACAGAAGGGGCCAAGAAATACCGCAGGAACCACACACAGATCACAAAGAGGTCTTCAGCAGCTTGCAAAAACCATTGAACAGGTTAAAGCAATGTATCGGCGCTGTTTATGCACTGCTCCTGCAGCGCACATGCGCTCAGCAACAGTACGGCAGGCATCACAGAGGAGCGCTCTACAAGAGTTCAGCATCAGACAAACACAACTTCTGATGGTCAGCTGCTTCTCTGTGCTTTGATGGCCACCTGATTAAATGTTACATTGCTGTCCCACATCATCACTCTGTAGTGCCAAATGCCTCTGGCACTACCTCTGCAGTGGTTGGCTCATCTCTTTTTTTAAATTCTCCTAACTGGAACAGGGAGCACCAGTGTGTCCGTACTGTGCACTTCGCAAATACGACATGCAGTGCTGTTTTTTCCAGTGTTAGGTCTTGATCCTCTCCAAGCGCACGGGAAGTGTATCTGTTAAACTTTGTGCTGTTGCTCTTTACTGAAGAGAAGCTTCCCAAACTTTGGGTACAAGTCTTGCCTGTAGACTTTGATGCCTATAGAAATGTTGCTACCACCATCTTCTGCTTAAGAAAGATGCTTTCACAGAATCAACTGAGAGGGCAAGAAAGCTAGAAACTGGCTCGGGAAGGGACTGCTGAGAACCCGAGAGATCTTGTCCTCCAGGTCTGGAGAGGTCTCATGAACCTTCCTAACAGGAAAAGGCTTTCCAATGTTAAATTCAAAATCAAAGACAAAAAAAAGTGCTTTAAAAGTTACTGGCCCTACTGGGTCTGGACACAGTGCTGAGAAACACAGAAGAGACTAGTGACAAAACGCTGGAAGATGCTACACAGCGAGCTAGTGAATCGCTCACTGCATTGTGGGTTTAGCTATTTACCACAAATCTGCATTTACCAATAACGAATAAATGCCAAGACTGACAAGGAACCAATTGCTTACAGAGTACCTAAAGCATCACGTTTTAGTCACCTCCCTTGGGTGCCAACAAGGACCAGTACTTGCAGGACAATTCCTGTTCCTGGCAGGTGTGTGAGCTACTGTTTATATTGAAGTCACAAACCACTCACTGCTTTTTGTTGAGGGCAGGGATCACGGGCTTAAAGAAAACATAAGGACAGCTGCTAATTAAGTACTCATGTTGCCTCTTCCTTTGCTTTAAACCAAAATCCTTTCCCTGTGCCTTAAGTGAAACCAAAATTAAAGGCTCAGTTCCTGTTTTATCTAATGGAACTGGGCGACATGAAAAAAGCCCTTTCTGTACCCAAAGAACACAGTCATCTCCAACCGCAGAACAGAATTCGGAGTATCGAAACCTAAAAGCCTCACAGGAGGCCAACACGAAAACACTACAGGCAGGCAAGCATCCAAACTCCCAGCCTTCTCTAGAGAGCCTCTATGTTCCCAAAGCACAGTCACAGCAGACAACTCCAATCAAGTAACTCGGAAGTATCTAAGTGTTCTTTGAAAGGATCAAGACTCTCCCTGCCCCGCTTCATGCCTCTAGAAGAGGATGTCACCTTTTATCTAAGTTGGAATGTTAGATCACTTGCACGGAAAGAGAGAAATATAAACTTTAGGGCTTTCTCAGCTCGAGCAGATTCAATTAAAGATTCCTCTCCTCCACCTGTTGCAGAAAATGCTCCTGGCTTGGGGAAAATGATGGTCAATGAGGGAATTCTTACTCTTCCTGTGGGAGGTTATCACAGACAAATACAGTTTACTGGATAGAACAGTAAAAACAAACAAAAAAACACAAAAAACACACGCAAAACCAAAAACCTCCAAACAAAACCCACCCAAAACCATCCCCCAAAACAAACAAACAAAACACCAAGGAGACAGACTGACTTGCGTTGGGTAGGCATGTTGTATTCCAACAAACAGGAACAGAGCACCCAAGTGACAGCATTTTGGGGAATCTAAAAAAAGAACTTCAGAGATACAGGCGATCTTCAGCTCAGAAAAATGAGGAACTTTGTACACCCAACGCAGCCAGCAAGCAACTCCATTTGCTGTTAAGTGACTCAGAAGTTGCCGCACTACTTTACATTCAACCCTAAGCGTCTGATACTCAAGACAAGGCTGATAACACGAGCTTTTGAGCGCATCTCTTACTTTTAGGTTAGAGTCACTCCTACACTAGGCTGCAGGACAGAGGACACCATCCCTCGGGAGAGAAGGGACCGAGGCCGAAGGCCACGTTTCTTTCTAGCGAATGCAGGTAGAGCCTCAGCCTCTCAATGCCCTTTACTCTCCAGTAAAATGCAGGACTGAACCCAGATCTCAAAGCATTCAAACTCTCTGAACAACAGAGGGTAAAGAACACTTCAAATACACTTGCTTGGATTTCATGGACATGTACCAAATCAAAGGAAAAAAGCTTACTAAAAATATGCATCTTTATTCAAATAAGGTTATCTCTGAACTCCAAGTGTCAATTTACATTAGTCAGAAACAAACATATGAAAACGTCAGCTGTTTGAATTCGAAAAAAAAACAACCAGTAGACAGTCTTCGGTGTTACAGTAATTGATGCATTGGTAAGTTTGAAGGAAGTCAGGTAATTTACAAACCATATTGTGAATTTTACTTTAGAAAGATTCGGGTGCGACCATGTATTTAATATACCCTGACCAGTACAATGAGATTGTCTTAAAACTGCCAAATATTTGCTACTATCATCCACACTTCAAATACCATTATTAGATTTGTTCTCACCCACGTTGTCAAACTGGATTCCAAGATGTCTTCTCCTCCTAGTCCTGAATTCTTACTTGATAAGAATTAAACACACTATCAGTGTTGAAAGAAACCTCTAGCCACCAGCCATAACAGGAAGCTACACTGACTGACAAATATCGTTCAAGTCCAAAT